TCAGGATCTACTGGTTACATTCATTTAAATATAAATAAATGATAAACATCACAACGTCTCTCAGGTTTATCCCACGGTGGCCCGCTCTCTGGGGATGGGCTTCTGCACAAGCTTCAGCCGCATCGGAGGGATGATCGCCCCCTTCATCGCTCAGGTGAGTTCAGGGTCCCTCTGAGAGTCAGGTGTTCAGGGTCCCTCTGAGAGTCAGGTGTGTTCAGGTTCATCTTATAGAGTCAGGTGAGTTCAGGGTCCCTCAGAGACTCAGGTGTTCAGGGTCCCTCAGAGACTCAGGTGTTCAGGGTCCTCTGAGAGTCAGGTGTGTTCAGGTTCATCTTATAGAGTCAGGTGAGTTCAGGGTCCCTCAGAGACTCAGGTGTTCAGGGTCCCTCAGAGAGTCAGGTGTTCAGGGTCCCTCAGAGACTCAGGTGTTCAGGGTCCCTCAGAGACTCAGGTGTTCAGGGTCCTCTGAGAGTCAGGTGAGTTCAGGGTCCCTCTGAGACTCAGGTGTTCAGGGTCCCTCAGAGACTCAGGTGTTCAGGGTCCTCTGAGAGTCAGGTGTGTTCAGGTTCATCTTATAGAGTCAGGTGTGTTCAGGTTCATCTTATAGAGTCAGGTGAGTTCAGGGTCCCTCAGAGACTCAGGTGTTCAGGGTCCCTCAGAGACTCAGGTGTTCAGGGTCCCTCAGAGACTCAGGTGTTCAGGGTCCTCTGAGAGTCAGGTGTGTTCAGGTTCATCTTATAGAGTCAGGTGAGTTCAGGGTCCCTCAGAGACTCAGGTGTTCAGGGTCCCTCAGAGACTCAGGTGTTCAGGGTCCCTCAGAGACTCAGGTGTTCAGGGTCCCTCAGAGACTCAGGTGTTCAGGGTCCTCTGAGAGTCAGGTGAGTTCAGGGTCCCTCAGAGACTCAGGTGTTCAGGGTCCCTCAGAGACTCAGGTGTTCAGGGTCCCTCAGAGACTCAGGTGTTCAGGGTCCCTCTGAGACTCAGGTGTTCAGGGTCCCTCAGAGACTCAGGTGTTCAGGGTCCCTCTGAGACTCAGGTGTTCAGGGTCCTCTGAGAGTCAGGTGTGTTCAGGTTCATCTTATAGAGTCAGGTGTGTTCAGGGTCCTCTTATAGAGTCAGGTGTGTTCAGGGTCCTCTTATAGAGTCAGGTGTGTTCAGGTTCATCTTATAGAGTCAGGTGTGTTCAGGGTCCTCTTATAGAGTCAGATGTGTTCAGGGTCCTGTTATAGAGTCAGGTGTGTTCAGGGTCCTGTTATAGAGTCAGGTGTGTTCAGGGTCCTGTTATAGAGTCAGGTGTGTTCAGGGTCCTCTTATAGAGTCAGGTGTGTTCAGGGTCCTCTTATAGAGTCAGGTGTGTTCAGGGTCCTCTTATAGAGTCAGGTGTGTTCAGGGTCCTCTTATAGAGTCAGGTGTGTTCAGGGTCCTCTTATAGAGTCAGGTGTGTTCAGGGTCCTCTTATAGAGTCAGGTGAATTTAGGGTCCTCTTATAGAGTCAGGTGTGTTCAGGGTCCTCTTATAGAGTCAGGTGTGTTCAGGGTCCTCTTATAGAGTCAGGTGAGTTTAGGGTCCTCTTATAGAGTCAGGTGTGTTCAGGTTCATCTTATAGAGTCAGGTGTGTTCAGGGTCCTCTTATAGAGTCAGGTGTGTTCAGGGTCCTCTTATAGAGTCAGGTGAATTTAGGGTCCTCTTATAGAGTCAGGTGTGTTCAGGGTCCTCTTATAGAGTCAGGTGTGTTCAGGGTCCTCTTATAGAGTCAGGTGTGTTCAGGGTCCTCTTATAGGGTCAGGTGTGTTCAGGTTCATCTTATAGAGTCAGGTGTGTTCAGGGTCCTCTGATAGTCGTACAGGTGAGTTTCAGGTGTTTTCTCTGTGTGTACTTCAGGTGCTGATGTCCCAGTCGGTGGTTCTGGCTCTCAGCCCGTTTGCAGTGACCTGTGTGATCTGCGCTCTGGGGAACTTCCTGCTGCCGATCGAGACTCGAGGACGAGCTCTGCTGGTGAGAGACACTATTAACGAGTGGGCCGGGCATTGTGGGTAAAATTAACTAAAGTTAACGAGAATTTAAATTATTCTGAATTCTTTCTCGCAACGTTTACATTTATAATTGTTTGTTTCTCTGATAAAGTTACAACTTTAATTTCACCAAATATCTATGATTTTCATTTTAAATGCAGCACAATGGAACAATATTTGAAGCGTCTGGTATTTTTATTAAGTTAAACATTTCAATACCCATTTCGTATTTCAATACGACTTTTAACATTTTTTTCCACAATTCTATCAGTATGTTATTTATATATTTTTCTATTTGAATCCTCAAGATTTATTTCTATTCCTACAAAAGCCTGAAATGTATTTTAAAATATCAGTTTTATTCAAAATGTTGAAAACTTTATTTCTGTGTTTTCAGCAGAACTCCTGACGACGTCCGCCGACGAACAAACCGTTTGTTATTTTGTATTAAATCTGAGGCTCGTGAATAAACGCTGCTATTGAAAGAGTTTCTGATAAATGATCAATAATATAATAGTATATATCTCATGTTTTCTTATTTAAATGTGAGGCACTTTATTGACATTTAAATAACGTTTTTATCATGAAAATGTTTATAAAATATCTGAAAAATATAAAATCTGAATAAAAACTCCTGAGAAACTAAAGTCTTAAATAATTCATTAAACGTCCTGGTGGTGGCGCTGCTGCACGGAGAGAAGAAGAAGGTCAGCGCTCGTTAAGCTCGTTAGCTCGTTAGCGTGGATACAGATTACTGTGTGTGTGTGTGTGTGTGTGTGTGTGTGTGTGTGTGTGTGTGTGTGTGTGTGTGTGGTGTGTGTGTGTGTGTGTGTGTGTGTGTGTGTGTGTGTGTGTGTGTGTGTGTGTGTGTGTGTGTGTGTGTGTGTGTGTGTGTGTGTGTGTGTGTGTGTGTGTGTGTGTGTGTGTGTGTGTGTGTGTGTGTGTGTGTGTGTGTGTGTGTGTGTGTGTGTGTGTGTGTGTGTGTGTGTGTGTGTGTGTGTGTGTGTGTGTGTGTGTGTGTGTGTGTGTGTGTGTGTGTGTGTGTGTGTGTGTGTGTGTGTGTGTGTGTGTGTGTGTGTGTGTGTGTGTGTGTGTGTGTGTGTGTGTGTGTGTGTGTGTGTGTGATTAGAGTGGATTTAGACGTCGGCTGCAGAGGGAGAGCGGCTCGGAGACGTGAGTAACACACCGATCATTTCACACATTTACATTAAAACTGTGTGTGTGTTTGCAGGGTCTTTATGGAGTGTGTGTTTGTGTATTTTAAATATTAGAAGATTACTTTTTATTTTAAATCAAAGACAGGAAAGTGTATGAGAGAAAGTTAAATAAATAAAAGGTAGTTTTACACAATCAAGAAAACATTTAAAACATAATATTAAATAATACTTTAGACGCGTTTAGAAGAAGAACATTAATACCTATTTATATGAATACATATTCAAGTGTGTGTGTGTGCTGATAGAGCTGTGGTGTGTGAAGCTCTTTGTGTGTGACACACACACACACACGTTGTTGTTTAAGTCCTCCAAGACTGAGCTGGATCCCATCAGTGACAGCATCATCAGGTGACGCCCCCCCCAATGGTGCCCTGCAGCCTCCGGGGTCGCCATGGGAGACGAGTCGTACCCAGAATGCCGAGCGCAGCAGCTGTTTGATGGCTTCGTGTCGGCGGCATCCTGCAGGGCGGCGCTGTGGAGCTTCAGTCAGCTGACCGACCTGCTGCAGCTGGGGAGGGAGGAGCCTCCGTATCGACCAATCAGACGCCGGCTCGGCTACTGGAGGGCCGACGCTCTGGGGGCCAAACTGGAGAGGAGGGCGGCGAGGCCGGAGTACCAGGGGCCCAGCAGGAAGACGACCGTACGTATTACTGCAGGGTCCCTGAAGGCAGCATCGTTAGGACGTATTACTGCTGGGTCCCTGAAGGCAGCATCGTTAGGACGTATTACTGCTGGGTCCCTGAAGGCAGCATTGTTAGGACATATTACTGCTGGGTCCCTGAAGGCAGCATCGTTAGGACGTATTACTGCTGGGTCCCTGAAGGCAGCATTGTTAGGACATATTACTGCTGGGTCCCTGAAGGCAGCATCGTTAGGACGTATTACTGCTGGGTCCCTGAAGGCAGCATCGTTAGGACATATTACTGCTGGGTCCCTGAAGGCAGCATCGTTAGGACGTATTACTGCTGGGTCCCTGAAGGCAGCATCGTTAGGACGTATTACTGCTGGGTACCTGAAGGCAGCATCGTTAGGACGTATTACTGCTGGGTCCCTGAAGGCAGCATCGTTAGGACGTATTACTGCTGGGTCCCTGAAGGCAGCATCGTTAGGACGTATTACCTGTAGAGGAACTAGTTATCTGTTACCTGTAGAGGAACTAGTTATCTGTTACCTGTAGAGGAACTAGTTATCTTTACCTGTAGAGGAACTAGTTATCTGTTACCTGTAGAGGAACTAGTTATCTGTTACCTGTAGAGGAACTAGTTATCTTTACCTGTAGAGGAACTAGTTATCTTGACCTGTAGAGGAACTAGTTATCTTTACCAGTAGAGGAACTAGTTATCTGTTACCTGTAGAGGAACTAGTTATCTTGACCTGTAGAGGAACTAGTTATCTTTACCAGTAGAGGAACTAGTTATCTGTTACCTGTAGAGGAACTAGTTATCTTTACCTGTAGAGGAACTAGTTATCTGTTACCAGTAGAGGAACTAGTTATCTGTTACCTGTAGAGGAACTAGTTATCTGTTACCTGTAGAGGAACTAGTTATCTGTTACCTGTAGAGGAACTAGTTATCTTTACCTGTAGAGACCCTGAAGGCAGCATCGTCAGGACTCATTACTCACTAACTGCTCTGTGATTGGTCAGTGTGTGGTGGTGGGGGCGGGGCCCTGTGGTCTCCGGGCAGCGGTGGAGCTCAGGTTCCTCGGGGCCCGGGTGGTTCTCCTGGAGAAGAGAGACTGCTTCTCCCGGAACAACGTTCTGCACCTGTGGCCCTTCACCATCCACGACCTCAGGGGCCTCGGAGCCAAGAGGTTCTACGGGAGGTTCTGCGCCGGAGCCATCGACCACATCAGTGAGTCAACAGGAAGTCCTTATATGGGGTTATGAGTCATTAACAGGTTAAAGAGTCATTAACAGGTTATAGAGTCATTAACAGGTTATAGAGTCATTAACAGGTTATAGAGTCACAGGTTATAGAGTCATTAACAGGTTATAGAGTCATTAACAGGTTATAGAGTCACAGGTTATAGAGTCATTAACAGGTTAAAGAGTCACAGGTTATAGAGTCATTAACAGGTTAAAGAGTCACAGGTTATAGAGTCATTAACAGGTTATAGAGTCACAGGTTATAGAGTCATTAACAGGTTATAGAGTCACAGGTTATAGAGTCATTAACAGGTTAAAGAGTCACAGGTTATAGAGTCATTAACAGGTTAAAGAGTCACAGGTTATAGAGTCATTAACAGGTTATAGAGTCATTAACAGGTTAAAGAGTCACAGGTTATAGAGTCATTAACAGGTTATAGAGTCACAGGTTATAGAGTCACAGGTTATAGAGTCATTAACAGGTTATAGAGTCATTAACAGGTTATAGAGTCACAGGTTATAGAGTCATTAACAGGTTATAGAGTCATTAACAGGTTATAGAGTCATTAACAGGTTATAGAGTCATTAAAAGGTTAAAGAGTCATTAACAGGTTATAGAGTCATTCACAGGTTATAGAGTCATTAACAGGTTATAGAGTCACAGGTTATAGAGTCATTCACAGGTTATAGAGTCATTAACAGGTTATAGAGTCATTAACAGGTTAAAGAGTCATTAACAGGTTATAGAGTCATTCACAGGTTATAGAGTCATTAACAGGTTAAAGAGTCATTAACAGGTTAAAGAGTCATTAACAGGTTATAGAGTCATTAACAGGTTATAGAGTCATTAACAGGTTATAGAGTCATTAACAGGTTATAGAGTCATTAACAGGTTAAAGAGTCACAGGTTATAGAGTCACAGGTTATAGAGTCATTCACAGGTTATAGAGTCATTCACAGGTTATAGAGTCATTAACAGGTTAAAGAGTCATTAACAGGTTAAAGAGTCATTAACAGGTTAAAGAGTCATTAACAGGTTATAGAGTCATTAACAGGTTATAGAGTCATTAACAGGTTATAGAGTCAGTTAATGACTCTATAACAGGTTATAGAGTCATTAACAGGTTATAGAGTCATTAACAGGTTAAAGAGTCACAGGTTATAGAGTCACAGGTTATAGAGTCATTAACAGGTTATAGAGTCATTCACAGGTTATAGAGTCATTAACAGGTTAAAGAGTCATTAACAGGTTATAGAGTCATTAACAGGTTAAAGAGTCATTAACAGGTTAAAGAGTCATTAACAGGTTATAGAGTCACAGGTTATAGAGTCACAGGTTATAGAGTCATTAACAGGTTATAGAGTCATTAACAGGTTATAGAGTCATTAACAGGTTATAGAGTCATTCACAGGTTATAGAGTCATTAACAGGTTATAGAGTCATTAACAGGTTATAGAGTCATTAACAGGTTAAAGAGTCATTAACAGGTTATAGAGTCATTAACAGGTTATAGAGTCATTAACAGGTTATAGAGTCATTAACAGGTTAAAGAGTCATTAACAGGTTATAGAGTCATTAACAGGTTATAGAGTCATTAACAGGTTATAGAGTCATTAACAGGTTATAGAGTCATTAACAGGTTATAGAGTCACAGGTTATAGAGTCATTAACAGGTTATAGAGTCACAGGTTATAGAGTCATTAACAGGTTATAGAGTCATTAACAGGTTATAGAGTCATTAACAGGTTATAGAGTCATTAACAGGTTATAGAGTCATTAACAGGTTAAAGAGTCATTAACAGGTTAAAGAGTCATTAACAGGTTATAGAGTCATTAACAGGTTATAGAGTCATTAACAGGTTATAGAGTCATTAACAGGTTATAGAGTCACAGGTTATAGAGTCACAGGTTATAGAGTCACAGGTTATAGAGTCATTAACAGGTTATAGAGTCATTAACAGGTTATAGAGTCATTAACAGGTTATAGAGTCATTCACAGGTTATAGAGTCATTCACAGGTTATAGAGTCATTAACAGGTTATAGAGTCATTAACAGGTTAAAGAGTCACAGGTTATAGAGTCATTAACAGGTTATAGAGTCACAGGTTATAGAGTCATTAACAGGTTATAGAGTCATTAACAGGTTATAGAGTCATTAACAGGTTATAGAGTCATTAACAGGTTATAGAGTCACAGGTTATAGAGTCATTAACAGGTTATAGAGTCACAGGTTATAGAGTCATTAACAGGTTATAGAGTCATTAACAGGTTATAGAGTCATTAACAGGTTATAGAGTCACAGGTTATAGAGTCATTAACAGGTTATAGAGTCACAGGTTATAGAGTCATTAACAGGTTATAGAGTCATTAACAGGTTAAAGAGTCATTAACAGGTTATAGAGT